CATCATTATCATCATCATCATCACCATCACCACTACCATGGTCACCATAATCATCATCACCATCACCACTACCATGGTCACCATAATCATCATCATCATCACCATCATCATCACCATCATCATCACCATCATCATCATCATCATCATCATCACCATCATCATCATCGTCACCATGATCATCATCACCATCATCATCATCGTCGCCTTCACCATCATCATCGTCACGATCAACTCATTTTAATCGCCATCAATGTGTAGCACTTTCATGATATATAGCATCATCATTTCCATCATCGTCTTCATCATCCAACATTATAGTCATCATCATCATCACTGAGTGGCGCTTTTATAATATACAGCAACATCATCTTCATCGTCGTCTTCATCACAATCATCTTATCATTAGTATCGCAATCACTGTGTAGCGCCTTCATTATTATCTATGAGCACCGTCTCCACCATCTTCAAACATCTTTGATTATTTCTATTATAGCTAATAGGCGTCTTGCACTAAGAGGTCACTTTTCACTCGTTCCTTTGGTATTTCTTCTTTTGCTTCCTTAAATCCTCGTGTTCTTTCCCCATAGGTCGAGCAGTTAGCCCACATGTTGGACGCGTTGCTTCCTCCAGCGGAGAGTTCAACCTTTCTTGGCCCAGATGTGACAGAAGCAGTATTTATTTCTTCTCTCATCTGGTCAGCTGGTGCAGGATTACTTGAAGAGGGACGAGTGGTTTATGATCAGCTCATCAAAAGACTTGCTTCGATGCCTCAGAACCCAGCAGAAGGTTCTGTTGTGGGACCAGGTATGAATGAGAAAGAACGAACGATTAAATGAAGAAATTAACGAATAAAGCAAGAAAAAGTGGGGGGAAATGGCAGGGAAAGAAGTACTGAGCAAAAACGTGTGAACAATAGGCCCCTTGCTTGTGACGTCAAAGCAGCTCAATTTGGAGGACAAAACAAAAAAAATTTCAATCTCCTGAGAATTGGAAACCTAATGTTATATCCTCCAAACTGAGCTGCATTCCGATATGCTGCAAGGGGTCTATTGTAGGGAACGATGGTAGGACGAACGACAAAGGGAAGAATTCGGCAATAAACGAACACGTTGCCTTGAAACCCTTCTGTTGCATGTTACACTTTGATGTTTTTGGTTGACCTAATCGTAATTTGAGTAAAAATGCTTGTCACAGTTTATCACTATTTTCCAATTCTATCTGTTAGTTAGCCGTGCTTTGAGGTTGTTTCAGAGTTCATAGAATTAAGAAGTAGCCTTCGATTGATTTTCAGGCGAATTGCCAAGCGCGCAGGCCAACCTATACGAGTACTTCTTTGATACGAAGCAACTGAAGTGGGTACCTTGGAAAGATGTTGTACCAGAATACATCCACAACCCTGAGCTGAAGTACAACGAGATTCTTGTACCTACTATTGATACTGTTCGTACAAAATGGCTGTTGGAGCTGATGGTCAATATTCACAGACCAGTTGTGCTTGTGGGAGAGACAGGCACTTCCAAGTCTGCTACTACAGCTAACTTCTTGAAACAGCTAGACACTGATGCAACGGTAAGATGATTTTTTTTGTTGCTATGGGAAGTATTTAAGAATAAGGAGAAAAGGGACGCTAGTCAAAATGACTCAACAACAACAACGGCTACAGCAACAACTTCAACAAAAGCAACTGGAGCAGCAACAACAAAAACGACAACAACAGCAACGAAAATAACAATAGCAACAGCAGTACCCTTTCAATAACAACTACAGATACGACGACGATTGCAACAAGAACCACTTACACTTACACCTAAAATATGTCTGGAATGTTTAATATCGTGTTTGACCAATCGCATGCGACAGTTAATTAGAAATTAATTCATTCTTGCATGTGATTGGTCAGAACACGATACTTACCATTCCAATTATTCTTCAGGTGTTCACGGTTTTCTTGCTTTGACTGTAGAATAGAATAGAATAGAATACCTTTATTTAAACACGATAAAATTTAAAGCTAAAAGCTTGTGGGGTCGTGCATAAAATAAATTAAATAAATAAAATATAATATAAGTATGAATCTGTAAAAATAGCTAATTAACTTAGATAACTTTAAATATCTTATTTATAATTCTCACACACATTCACATACACAAACTGCGCAAGCTATTAGACCCGCCAGGGGCA